TTCCTGCTTTCCTGCTTTACTAAGGACATGCTGTTCATTCCTCTTGCTTGAGATAGGCAAAACTCAAGAGCACAACTGATTAAAAGCCCAAATGAAGTAAAGGCAGTAAGGGAAACCTGCCTATGGACTTCTGAAAAACAAACCATCTAACATATGCTCCAAGCAGCCCAAGAAAATCCACTTAAGATGAACTTCTGTAGGGTCTGAGACTTGTTCATAGGGAGGACAGATAGTGCCCTGCATGTGCTTAAGTTGTTAATTGCCATCCCTAAGTTCTTGGGAATGACCAGCCTGTATTATCCTTGGGTCCATACGAGCCTCTAAACATCATGAACTTGATAATATACTAAGAATCACTAATAACACAGAGGCGACACTCTGTGTACTCCAGCAGCGCAGAAGCAGCTTTGGTGAACCTGTGGATCCATGTTAAGAATAGACAACTTCCAGAAACCCCTTAAGCCTGTTCCATGAGTGCCGTTTTGTTATGGCATCAAATAGGATGCTTTTTAGATATTATTGTCTCTTTTGGGGATCATGACTATGACAGATTCTTGTAAACAGAGGTGGGTTCATGCAACTAGGTGAAGATTAAGTCTTCAAATCCCAGTCATTGCTACTGTGTACTGTTACATAACTTCTTACAGCTCAGCCTCCCACCGTGGAGCTGCCCGAGGGGACAAAGAGCTGCCATGAGATAAGGAGGGCCAGGATGGCCACTGTTCCTGCTGAGTGTAACAGCCTTCAAGTGAATCTTTAGCAGGCTTTCTTTGCATGGGGCTGACCAGATCTCTTCTTCCTTTCCCTCTGGGCAAAAACCATGTGTTATTGCAAGGATATGATAAAAGTATATAGGCAAGCAATAATTGCAAGTAGAAATGATTACAAATAGAAATTTATAGCTGAATTTCTAAAATTTATTATTTGTAGCCTTCTTTTTGTACACAAAAGAAGGCTACACACTTTTAGTATGTTTTTAGGAATTTCTCTTGGAAAGGGAAATCATAGTCTGCCTAACCTATTCTAATCTGTTTTTTTAATTTTTTTTTTTTTGGTATAGTTTTTTAAAAATGATCTGATCTTTTATTTGTCAAGATTAACCCTGGTTATGAGCAATGAAATATTTTTAAGTGTCAGCAGAGCAAGATTTTAATGTTCACCGAAGTCTTAAAAAATGGGCTGCCGTGGAAATAGCTCTTACGCTCTGTGACTCACCTAAGCAGTTCCTTACTGCCCTCTAGTGCAGTACTACTGTCCTCACAGGCACTAACTGCCCTTCAAAAATAAGTGTATTGCTAAAACCCTCATTTGCTGGTAGGTCGCCCACATTTATGTACTGAGAAGCTCCGCAGATTCGCTTTTGCTGCTTTTCATGTGAAGCGGTAGCGAGCCCTGGAGCGAGGAGATGTTGTGATCCAACGGCAGAGCCTACGTAATGGAGCGTTTCAGCAGCAGGGGTTAGAGCAAGGCAGCTGGGGACACGGGCACTCACTCGCTGCACACTTGGTGTCAGAGCTCTCACACTTAGACTGGCGCCTATTAGACCCCTCACCATTCTCATGTGTCTCCTTTTCAGTGTGGTTCTTACTTTCTGCTTTACAAAACGTTCCCTCTGGCTCTCTTTTTTATATTGAAGTCCTATTGATGTCTCTCTTACAGTGAATAATTTGCCCAGCTTCTCTACTTTGCCCTCCAGCCCTTGTCAAAACACAAATAGGCAGAATACAGGAGGTCATACCAGAATCACAGAATCACAGAATATTCAAGGTTGGAAGGGACCTCTAGAGATCATCTAGTCCAACCTTCCTGCTCCAGCAGGGACACCCAGAGCACGGGGCACAGGGCGGCATCCAGGTGGGTTTTAAAGATCTCCAGAGAAGGAGACTCCACAGCCTCCCTGGGCAGCCTGTGCCAGGGCTCTGTCACCCTCACAGGAAAGAGGTTCCTCCTCACATGGAGATGGAACCTCCTGTGTTTCAGCTTATGCCCATTTCATAGAATCATAGAATGCTTAAGGTTGGAAGGGACTTCAGAGGTCATCTAGTCCAACCCCCTTGCTCACGCAGGGTGAAATTTCCCCTTGTCCTATCACTGGCCACCAATGAGAACAGTTTGTCCCCTTCCCTGAATTCTCCCTTCATGAACTTATACATGTTAATCATATCCCCTCTCAGCCTTCTCTTCTCCAGAGATCATACCAGAATCCACTCCGTTTCTTCCCAGTGTGGTGGCTGGACTCCACCTATTCGCCTCACCAGAGTCCTTTAAGTAGTCAAAACCTATGAGCGGACCTTCCCTTTCACACCACGACATGCTGGTTCTGCTGCAAGCATCAGCCCAGCCACCCTTGCACGCCTCTGAAGACTCGAAAAGGCTGGAGGCATGACTTGCTTTTAGAGTCACATTGTCTCTTCCCATTTTATTTTTCCACGCGTCTGCAAGTCTTGTGTAACAGGAATTAGCTCGCTATTTCCAGTACTCCATAAAACCAGCTAGGCTGCAGCTCCAACAAGTTCCTTGGCATCCTTTCTAAAAGCTGCTGGAGGAACTGGCATGTTCTGCTTCTCAAACATCAGAGCAGTTTCAAGGTCCAGGCTAACGCTGTTAGGTCAGCGGTTTCCTCTCTAGCTTCTGAATCCCAGCAGTGTGCCCTGGTGGCCAGGAAGGCCAACGGGATCCTGGGATGCATTAAGAGGAGCGTCTCCAGCAGGTCGGGGGAGGTGATCATCCCCCTCTACTCAGCCCTGGTGAGGCCACATCTGGAGTACTGCGTCCAGTTCTGGGCTCCCCAGTACAAGAGGGATGTGGAGCTGCTGGAGAGAGTCCAGCGCAGGGCTATGAGGATGATCAGGGGCCTGGAACATCTGCCCTGTGAGCAAAGGCTGAGAGAGCTGGGCCTGTTCAGCCTGGAGAAGAGGAGGCTGAGGGGGGACCTGATCAGCGTGTATAAATACCTCAAGGGAGGCAGTGAGGAGGAGGGGGGCAGCCTCTTTTCAGTGGTGGCCAGCAATAGGACTAGAGGAAATGGCCACAAGCTGAGGCATGAAAAGTTCCCCAGGAACTTGTGGAAAAATGTCCTGACAGTGAGGGTGACAGAGCCCTGGCACAGGCTGCCCAGGGAGGCTGTGGAGTCTCCTTCTCTGGAGATCTTCAAAACCCGCTTGGATGCCGCCCTGTGCCCCGTGCTCTGGGTGACCCTGCGTGAGCAGGGGGCTGGACTAGATGACCTCTGAGGGTCCCTATGATTCCATAATGATTTCCAGTTTTGCTGACACTCATCTGACATTTCTGATACTTCTTAAAGAAAGAAAAAGATTTACAAATAATTCTCACTCTTTAGGAATTTCTTCCTTGTCCCTATGTATACACAAAACCTACTTTATAATGGATTTTGCATTTAATGTGTTTACAATACATCTCTACTTTCCTTCTGTGGGCCTAATTACTTGTTAATGGCTTTCTTTACTTAAATATAACCTCCAACCTGTTTTTTTTGCCCCCCCCTTTTTTTTTTTTTGCTGTATATACATTTATTCAGGGCATCTCATTATTGCTTTGTAGCACATCTGCAGGAATTTTACCTTTTTTGGCAAGTTTTTGTCGTTTTTGGAAAGTTAAATTACTTTTTCACGTGCTCTTGCCCCAAGAAATGGACATTGACAGTGACCAAGCAGGTAGCGGGGCTGCACGCTGCAGCGTACACGGAGACAAGGGAAGGTTTCCATTTGTATTTCTATTTGTGTCTTCGCTGTTCTTCAGGGCACTCCTGTGAAACACTAAAGAAACTAACGAACGGAGCAGACAGACAGGGACTAGTGATAGAGCTTGTCTTTCTGCAAGGCCTGATCGTAAGAGGACCTTCTCTTTCTTAGGGGTACAGTTAAATTAGTCTAAGGGGTTGTGTTTTTTCCATTTTTTAAGCATACACAGTAACCTCTCCTCCAGCATAGCCTACTGTCACTTCTCTGCAACTGCACATGCAATGACTTGGGCTTAAGTACTGTTTTATAAAATATGTATGTTTACGTGTGTATGTATAAAAATGTATACATGATTTTACTTTAGTTTAAGGCACTTGCATAGTTGCCTGCTTTATCATCTGTTTAAACAGAATTCCCATCGGCTGAGACTATCCCTGACTCTACACTGCTTTAACATATTATACAGTTATGAGATGTAAGGATAAAGAGTTTTATTAATTTGTGTGTTGGAGGATACAGCATCCTAAAAAAAAAATGCTTTTGCATCAAGATCAGAGTGCCAGGATTAGGTTGAGGTATTACAGGAAAATGACACCGCCAGGCACATTTGCAAAAAGCAAGGTAGAGAGAAAAAAAAAAAAAGAGGGAAAAAATGGAAAGGAAAAGTTTCCTGCAAACAACTGTACATTCAAAAGCATATTACATTATACTCTCCTATACACCCAAATGCCAGTGGGAACCCCATGCTCCTGGCTCCCACAAACTCCTTAAAGTAGCCTCAGAGAAAGCCTTGTGACCAAATGGAGAGCAGTGGCTGTCATCCCCCTATCATCACCTAGCACAAGCCCGAGTGCAGCAGTTACCCCAATTTGTCAGTAACAGTGCTGATTTCCATATCACTAAAGGACACAGAGTAAATGAATACAAATAGATCCACATAAAATAAAGATATTCTGACTCAAATGCTGAGGAAGAGGTGATGCTATATATTTAACATCAGAAGTTTAAGACTCTTTGGTTAAATGATTTTTATACCTCCCAACTATTAACAGTCGATACCTTTCATATTTAATACATTTTTATTACAAGTAGATATAACAATTCTTGCCAAAAAAAAGGAAGGCTATATATACAAATACAAAATCCAGTGCAAAACAGAAGCACCCTATAGAATCTGCATTTCTGTTCCCATGTTGCACAAGCAACTGTCATCTCGGACTTCACGTAGCTCCTCACCAACATGAAGTTTAGACAGGAATTGCTAAAATTTTACCTGTTGACTTCAAAAGAAAAAAAAAAAAAAAAGGAAGACTTGCTGACAGGTGCAAAAATTCGTACAAAATGTATTAATAAAAATATGAAACAAACATACATTAAATAGCTTTGTTTCCTGGTACATACTTCAGATTTTCAAAAGAATTTTATAAAATTTACATACTCAGTGAAATGATTTATTGTTGTAGAAAACACATTTTTTAATTTCAAGTTTATATTAACTATAAATATCTAAGGACAGAAAAGATAACCCTCAGGCTGGCATGCTGTATTTCTCCATCGTTTATGTCTTCTGCTCTTTGCCTTTTGGAGAAAACATTACAGCATAAGGCTGACGTCTCTTTGGACGCTGACAGGGAGCAAGATCCTCTTTAATGTATCCTAAAAGAATAAGAGCAAGTTTGAGGTAAGAAATACAACTTAGAAACACATGTAACTTCTGTTTCTTACTTATTTATTTATCTAGACCCTGAGGTTGACACTGTCCACCTGGAAAAGGCCAGACAGTAACCTATGGATCAACACAACTTGAACTGCCCTCTGATGAGAAATCTGTGTGGAAAATATCCATAGCGTGTCCAACCCAGCTCACACCGATAGTGAGCAGAAAATTCATGCAAATCATTTAGAGCATCTGGCTTTTGTCAAACCCTTACTGTTTATCAGCACTAATGTCTGCTGAAGTAAGAACAGCAGAGTCATACCTCATTGTTAGAAGAGTTTCTGTTCAATTCTCAATTGTTCAAAACACAAGGTACCACTAAGAGCCAGCAAATACATCCCCTGCATCCCACTTCTACTGACAACTGCAATTACTTGCCATGCTCTGTCTTCCCTTTCCATTTTCTAATTTCCTGTTGCATTCTTGTGTAACAGGCCACTGCCATGGAAGGGGACACCTAAATTCTGATTCTGATGCCCTGCTGGGGACCACAAAGCACTGAGCAGCTGCTGCTTTAGCAGAACAAGGAGGCAGCTGCCAAGCTAGTTTCAACAAGGGGTGGTAAAACTCTCCCTCACAGGTTACCCACATCCCATGAAGTTACGAACAGACTGAGCCCAAGGCACTTACCAGCCGCGTAACTGGCATAAATCCTTGCAGCAGATAATGAAGAAGGGGCAACTTAACTAGAGCCTCAACAGGAAATCTGCCCCCCACAATGGGAAAGGCTTCTAAGGCTGAACCCCATGGTCGTTCTTTGGAACCCCATTCTTTGGGAGCACAGGTTCAAACTTAAATGAGCTTAACTCACTATGTTTCTAAAATTCAATATGCAACTCATACTGTAAGTCATATTATAAGTCTATCTCTAAGAAACCAGCCGCTACTCATATTGAGGTCGAAAGACTACTTAAAAAAACCCTACTAGAACTGTTCTCTATCCTGAAAGATTTTTTAAGCATGATACTGTAGCACTGCCACACCAGGTCACACACATGGTCCTGGCCTTTCTTATGCCTGACCTGAAACTATTCAAGAATAGAGGGGAAAAAAAGGCAGATTAATGTTTCATAACTAATAACGTGCACATTAATATATAAGTAACTCTGAGTTCATCTAGGACTCCTTAGATCCCAATTTCCTTTCTTCTGAAGAAATATCCCATAGAGTACAAACTTAGTAGATTTTGGAGCTACTGATGCTACCTGCCTGTCTTCAGTTAGCGCCATCTCTCCACCTTTGCCTCTTCAAATGTGTGCCTAGCTTTTGCTTGGGTTCAAAGACAAGTAAATTAAATTCTCTGAAAACCTCAATGATTGCCAGTGGGTAATGGAGCTCAACAGACCTGTGTGAGAAAGGCTGCTTTATGAAGAACACACAATTTCAGGAGTCCCTTTTAGAAAGAACTAGCTGGAGGAAAAGTGCTTTATAAGCCATTTCATACACAAACCTCTTTCCACACAAGTTTGGGTGGAAGGAAATCCAACTTCCCAGAAATTTTCAGGTGTACTCGGAGGAATGTAGCGAAACCTGTGCCTCGAACAGAAAGCTAGTTTCTTTTCTCTCTCTTCCGCTGGAATGTCGGCATAATACTGTGTGTTAGAAAATAAAATGCGGAGTTAACAAATTTATAGATAACAAGCAAGTGCATTACACACTGGAACTATCAATCACTGTTTATGAACAGTTATCCAAATACGTTGGTGAGGCCAGCCAAGAGTAAAGACGTGTTACCTGGCCATTAGCCAGAAAGTTAACTGTATTGACAGATAGCATAGGGGTCAAAATAAAAGGGAATTTTCTAATGAGTCAAAACTTGAGTATTTGCAAATAAAAAGAGAAAAACTGAAAATGCAAAAATCTCTGCTAAAAATTCTCAGTGTCTAAATTTACAGTATTTACAGCAGACCAGTCAAGAAGCTTCCTGGTTCACAACCCTCAAATTTGGAGTGTGAAAAGAGCTGGTTAAACATATGCTGACTGACACTGGGATTCCAGGAACTATCTGCCAGCTGGGGATTCTCCAGAGTGTGTAGCAAGTTGGCTACCCACTCTCTTATCTGTCAGCTGTCCTGGAGGCTGCACTGAGAATAGTGTAGGCTCTACAGGCTTCTTTGTAGAGTGATCCCCACGTGTATCACAAAACCGCATTTTTTTAGTGCAGCTTTCTAGTGTTTTCAGCTATGATTCAGCTTAGCATCTCCCCCAAATCACGATTTGGATCTCGATATTATAAAGCACTGAAGTATTTTCAAAGCTGAACGTGCTACGTGACCCAAGCAGCACAGCCAAAGTCCCGGACAGGATTGCAGGCAGCCTCGTTCTCACACCAAGTGATAAAACGGTTCTAACAGTGTGATACAGCACTGGGAGCCAGAGGGACAAACTACAGGCTCAGACCTCAGTTAGTCAGCTAGAGAATGATCTGGAGTGGAGATGAGGAGAGCAGCAGGGCATTCGTGGCAATGGAGTTTGCTACCTGTCTCCATCTGCTGGAGAGAGGATCACAGAATCCTCGCTTGGAATATTAAAGTGCACCAACAGATCCCCTTTATTTATTAGTGGGGGGCAAGTGAAATACAAAATAGGCATAAAAATACCACGTTCCCCAAGAGCATGATGAGAAAGTAATCACAACCAGGGTTGTGGGAGACAAAGCTGCACAAACTGGGAAAAATGTAAAAGTTTTTTTTTTTATTTTAATGTCCTTGTCAACTAAAGGAACGGGAGCTCTGCCTGACAGAGGTACACTTTCTTCTCCCAGAGAGCTGTACAAATATCTCGTCTCTTTAGAAACTTCAACATCAGAACAATTTTTCCTTTCATTTTACAGGAATTTTATCGAATGTGTGTTTCCTGGTCCACAACAGAGATTTCGCAGGCTGTATTCAAGATAGGAGATGACTGGTCTGTCTTCTACCAAGTCCTGCTGCCTAGGGTAGTATGAACTGCCAGTTCCACAGAGAACAGTCAGAAATGGTTAAAAGCAACTAGTGAAGGGTTCTACAAAACATTTGTGCACTGAGCCAAATACAGCCCCAACAGCAGAACTGCTTTCAGTTCGTGAATGTGGATAAACTCCGTTTCAAAGTATTGGCCACTGTCTTATGCAACGTTCCCTCAGAAAGGAAGGAGCCCCCCCAAATACACTGCTTGCAAAAGCTTGCCAAAAACAATTCACTCATTTCTACTCCCTAAATATTTCCTTGGACTTTGGAGAGTTTTCCAAGCCATATGGCTAACAGGTAAGCCAAGATGTTTTAAACATCCCTTATGCTTTGCCTAATACTCCCCTTTTCCATAAGCATTTCCTTCAGAGCTGCTCTTCTTGTGGTGCAATGACCGGGCCAAGTATTCCCTACATTCCGAGGCATCTGTCTTGAAGGGGCTGTCATTTCTAAAGCCTAATGTAGAAATCCGTGTTGTAATATTACATGTTACATATGCAATAATCTCACTCTTTTATATCTGTACAATGTGCCTGTACAATGTGTCTGATGTGTTGTAAAACAGAGGTTATAAATGTTCCCAACTACCATGGTTACCACTTGAATTAACTTGACAGAAAGTGACAAGAACTAGATTTGCTGAGAGAAGACCCATGACTTGCCAAGACAGGAAATTAAAACAGTTAAGACTGCGCTTGGCCCAAGAAACAGGTTGAAGTATTTTTTTAATCCTGTTTTCTTTCAAAGACGCTAAATTAAACATATTTTTGAAAATTGAATTTATAGTTGACGGTATAACTTAGTAATTTGCATTTAATGAGTTTTAGCAGGGCAGCTTTTCGGGAATATGTTTTTGTTCAAAATACATTCCAATAAATGTTTTCTGCTAACCAAATGTGACAACCATAAAATGAATAGCAGAAGAATTTAAGAAGAATGCTGGTTCTAAATAGGTATGGAAATTAAATGAAAAGTCTCCAGAGAATCTGTTCTTCAGTCCACACTTCAGGAATGTCAAAATGTATTAGATCATAGCCTAATTAGCTCCTGGCTGAAGGCCTATTAATGACCAAGTTAAACATTCTTATTACATATGTAATAATTTCACTATTTTTTTTTATCTGTACAAAGAATCTGAAAGCTGATTAGTAATTTGAAAGAGAGGAAAGACTTGCTCGAGTAATAAAAGGGAAACTTGTAATGCAAAAGCTAAAATCTCATATCCCTGCAAGCATTTTTTGTATGCATTTGCACATACATGCACATTGGCACCTTTGCTGGGGTAGCCATCTGAAATACAACCACTCCAGAACACAAAAACAAAACAAAGCCAAGGCAGAGGAACAACACTTGTACTAATCCAGCTGCTGTAAATTTTAGTAAAGATTTTGAGGGAATGTTCGGAGGCTTAGAAACCCTTCTTTGGCTAGCTCATGTATATATATATATTTAATAATGAAAATCTTATTCAATTCATGATATATTAAGTTTCTTTTTTGCAAGAAAAAACTGAAGACGTTATTTGCAGTTACTACAGTAAAAAGCATTTACTTGCCACTGTATGCACTGATGATGATGCAACTATATTCCTAATATCTCTAAAATGCTGTCATTTTAGAGATAAAATGCAAGACTGACCAAAATTTAGAGCACTACTTACTACTTCACATTCCTTACAAGTATGGCCCAGCAACTTTCTTCTTTCTTCCTTCTTTCGAATTACCTCAATATGAGGAAAATCTAGCACAGTATTCTTTCTGAAAAACAGAAAGGTTTTCACATGATAGTAGCTGTATCTCCTTTACAAGTCTGGAAAATTTCTTTTTTCAAAACACAATGAAGGAGAATTAAGAGAAAAAAAAAATCACAAAAATATCCAACCGCTCTCCATTTCACCTCTGAACAAGCCTATTTTTATAATCAAAACAGTTTGAGGATTTTTTAAATGTAACATGATTATTTTATAGAGATGTGTCTGTCTCAGATTTTAATGGTTTTTCATAGGTCTACAATAATTACTATATATATTTTACTCAAAAAATATACTTTTTTAATACAAAAAAAAAGGGTAATGCCTGTAACAGAAGTTCTTGCAATGATTTCTGAAAAAGAAAGCATGTTGGGGGTCTAACAGAGTGTTTTCAACTTTATGTTTTCTTTTTCAAACCTGTATTAAAAAATCCTTCTTCCTCTACAAAGAGAGCACAGGCTGAAGTAAGAAAAAAAAAATTAGTAACTAATTGAAAGGTTTAATACCATTACAAAGTGAAGATTCAGATTCAGATTCTGTACACCTACAGCTACTAATAAGCTGTGTACAAATAATCTTACTTCATGGAAGGAAACAATCTCTATGGGGGAAAAAAAAAGTCTTAAATTGCCTATATTAATAAACAAACTACATTACCTTTCATCACTTTTGAAGTAGGGCTCCACAAAAGCCTTCTGTTTGGTCTTGTCTTGTTTATCTTCATATTCTGGAAATATATACGCAGGGAAAAAATAAACAACAACAAAAAACCCCCGGTCACATAAGGTTAACAAGCTGCCTGGAGATGTGTCTATAAAATGATTAGTCAGTTATTAAGAACTACAAAGATGACATGTACAGTCTGCTCTGAGGCAGAGACACTAAAAATCACAGAATCACAGATAATAGAGAATGGGATGAAATAGAAACCAAAAATCATAACTGGAGAAGGAACACAGGAATAAGACAAGGAAAAAGATGAGCATAATAGCAAAGAAAGGTTTTGCCTAAATTGCGAAACATTAAGAAATCAAGGAAGAGAGGAAGTGAACTGTGCATAGTCATAAATCCCAGCCAAAACCTGGTGTTTCCTTTCAGAGTCATCCTGCTCTACAGCCCCTGTCCTAACATCCATCACAGCCCCCAGAGTTGTGTGGTGCCTTTATAAATGAATTCCTAAAGTGGCTTATGTTACATGCCTGCAATGAATGAATTCCCCCATGAACTTTCGAAAAAGGAGCTTGCTTTTTTTGACATATTTGATCCAAGGAAAAAATAAATGATTTCAAATCAGCTCTTGTAGTCTAATAAAGATAAAAAAAATCCCACTTTTTAGATTCTTGTTTGCAGCTGCTATTTCTTTATCCCGATCATCATCATGAAGAGTTTCTTTTTCATCACATGCAGACAGATCATCTTCTGCTAGGCAGGATTCATATTCTTCATGACTCGTCCGATCAAACATTTCTGCTAAGGTATCATTCATTTTTTTTCCTGCTCCTATTAAAAAAAAAAAAAAAAAAATCCATAGTAAATATCCAAATCAGTCTCCCAACAATTTAAGTCAAGAAAACAATGCTTATTTATATATTGATTGAAAGAACAAATACCTACTTCCCTCTCCAGCACTAGTTAACATTGTTGACACACTTATTCTTTCCGCGTTCCTTTCTCAATCTTTTAAATGTGGATAACACATGCTTATTTTTCATAAAGATACCTCAATTTCATTGGTAAACACTGATTACCTGCTGAATCACCCTGAATCACGCCCATAATCTTACTAGTGCCCAGACAATATTTTCTTGTTATTGTAACTACAGAGATAACCAAGCACAAGGAAACATCTTCTGAGTGGAAGAGATAAACTAATGGTAACGTGATCGAGTTGCAACTTCAAACACACATGCAGACACATACCCTTAGAAGTCACTGCCCTGCAGCCACAGATCACCGTGTATTAAATGTGATGTAAACACATTTGGATTTATTTCAAATGCAACAGTTCTATTTATGTCGCATTAAGAATGAAATCAGACATTCCACAGAAAGTTTGGTACAAGTATGCAGCAAGTTTCCAAATAGGTTTGACTTGCAAGCATATTTGTTGCAGATGAGAAGTAAAATATGATAAATATTTAACAACTTCAGCAATGCTGAAAGGCACTGCCTCAACAAGTCCTGTTAGCCTATCTTAGGTTGAAAAGGCCACTGATTCTACTAGGAAACAGACTGGTGATCATTGTAATCTCCCCAACTCACCAGTGCTATATAACGCAGACCATTTTCTACTATCGATACACACAAAAGAAAAATAATATACATTATGCTTTCCTCTTCCAAAAGAAGTCCTACCTGGACTACCTTCCCGGTTTTGCTCTTGGTTCTTCGTTTTTAATAGCACACTTTCACTAACATAGGTATAATCCATATCAACGCCTTCCCCAGCAGTCCTTGTCTGAGAACCATCCTGAATACACAAAGCAAAGAGATGGGAACGGCACTCAGCTGTGACTATGTTAGTCAGCACCACTTTAATGACAATTACTGCAACTTCTTAGACACTTGCTCCAGTATTGTTTTCTGCAGTAATATTTGCATAATAAAGATGCAGAAATCAGGTAATAGAATAACTCAAATCACCAATTAAGCACAGCAGAATTTGGAAGTCATTCCCAAGTGATTATGTTTTAGGATATCTCATAAACAAGACAAAGCAAATACAGCTCAGTAATCCTGTTCTAACAGCTAAGCTGCATACAAATCAAAGGAAGAGAATAGTCAAGATTTACACATCTTCCTCTGCTTAGCATAAAGACATATCACAGGGAACAATTTTCACAGGAAAAGAAATAAGAGATTTGAAACTAGTGTTTAAAAATCATTTTCTTATTTAGTAACTGCTGCAAAGCTTATCAAATACAAGAAGAAAGTTGGAACTTTTAAAGACAACTTAAAACAAACATTTTAAAAATGAAACCGTATGACCAGTGAGTTGAATTCTGATTTTCGTTAGAAAGTGGCACTTTAGGTCTATCAGAATAAAGTCTGCAATACTACTTTTTTTCCATACTATGGAAACGTGGACTAGTTACAGAAAAAGTAGCTTACCTTTGTATCAATCACAGTAATGTCCATTTTGTACTGGGACAGGTCAGCTCCTGGATCCACGCTCCACTGAAGGTTTTCTAATGAAGACTTATCTTTAAGATCTGGGTGGAGAAAATACGATAAAAAAGAAAAAAAGACAATCTAAAAAAAGAGTGCCACTAGCATGCATAGCATCTAAATTCTAAGTTATTTTCTTTTTTTAATTAAATCAGTTCCTCTGGTTTTAAGGATTGATTAGTTTTAAATACACTAATCTGGCATAAATACTTTTTAATGTAAACATTCAAAAGCAATGAGTAATAATTAGTCACATTTGGGAAGCACATTGCTCCTATGTGTTTGTTACTTCGGAGGTAAACATGTACTATTCTTGCAGTAAAAATGCCTGCACTATGTAAATGAACTACTAATAAAATTGTGTAGGAGATGAATGAGAAAGCCAAAGTTGAAGTAATAATGACATTCCTGTCATTGTTGCAGAGGTGACTTTGGAGTCATTTGTCAAATAGAATATTTGTCAAATAGAAATGAAACAGGGAGAAGTAGTTTCAACAAACCTGTTGAGTTTAAAGCTGAAAGCCAATGATATATTTATTGTACACAGAAAAAACACTAAGAAGTTACTACTGAAGAAAAGCTTAATGAAATGTAGTAAGTTATGATACAGATTGAAAAGCTAGGGGTGATTTTGAAAAGTCCTGAATAGCAACTTTTCCTGAAAGGAAAAACAGAGAAAGTGATTGCTGTGAGGTAAAAGAAGATGCAAGAAATTCTACTGAAATATAGCATAGCTGGCAAGGAGGAGGGAAGGAGGAGCATTTTCATGAAGTTACCTTGTTCATTTTGCAGTGCTTTATTTTTTGGTAGTCTACAAGGGTTTGGCTGAAGTACAGATGCAGGTTCAGACTCTCCATACCCTGTCCTTGTTTTCTTTCTATTTGGTACATGGTCACTGGCAACCTAACAACATATTAAATTTTACCATTTCCAAGCACTTCAAAGTTATATTCCAAAGAGAAGGAAAAAAAAAAAACCCAAAACCAAAACCCAAAAACATACCTTCATGTCATCAAAAAGAGTTTCTGTCTCTACAGTGTTGAGCAGTGGTGCAATTTTGAAAGGAGGGCTATCATCTTTCACTTGGATCTGTTTTCTGGTATCTGGGAACGTTTTTCCCAGCACTGCCTCTTGTACATAAGGTTGCTCTTGTAAATCTCTGCCCAACAAGCAGCTCTCACTGTTGGCATTTTGAAGGGATGGTGACCCCTCCGCAAGGGGCTTCCCTAGCTGGGAAAACACGTCAAGCAGAGTCACCTGCTTCAGCCTGCTTTTACAGGCTTCCTCGCTGCCTTGCTTTTTGTCTTGGCAGCGAACTCCCGAGAAGCGATCCGACAGATCCAAGGGTTTGTCACCAGTGTGTTCTCCATTAACAAGCTGGATATCTGCTCGGAAAGGCACAGAGTTCTCTTTGTTGAAGGATGTCTTTTCACAACTAACGGCGTGCTCATCTTCAGCTTTCTTCCTCTTAGCACACCTGCCTTCTAGTTGCTTATGGTGTAGGAGAAAGAAATCACTCTTGATAGTCTCATTTTTAGCTGTGCAAGTGTTTCCAACACAAATGCCAGCCTCGGTAGCATTCTTCTTCACAACCATCTGCCTATTGATAGAGGTCTGGCTGATAACAGAGTTTATTTCAGTTCCAAGATTAAGTGGTGCAACAAAAGCAACATCTTCAGATTTTGATCTGCTTTTATGAGATCTGGAACTGGAAGGATTGTTGAAGAGGTTGGTTTTAAGATTAGGCTTCAATCCAGAATCTAAAATACAAGGAGCATGACTTGTGCTTGAGTTGTTCTTCGTATTGCTAGAAGCTCCAAAAACGGGAGACGCTACCTGAGGATCCCAGTCCACATGTGGTGGAGTGTTCTGAGATGGCTCTGAAAGACTGAATACAGCAAGAGAGTCAATATTTTTAAACACCAAGAGCTGGAGGGGGGAAGAAAAAAAGATCTGCAAAAGGCATCGGTTTCCTTACAGTGATACACGCCAAAGCTGTCAGAACTGCTAGCAGTAACTGAAAACTGAAGTAAAAAGAAAACTTGGTTTAGGAGCATTGTTGCAAGGACTCTGAAAGGTAAGTGAAATCAGATCGAGATCTGTTAATTTTCTCACCTTAGGCCCATTATTTCCAGATTTAGGAAACTCGGAAACTCAGAAGATACCTCTCAAGAGCAAGAAATCAGATAGGGAGGATATTTATCGATAGCCCCTATCAGAAGTTTGAGAGAAAAGAAAAATCCCACAAATTTACAGCTTTACAGCTCCTTTTCTTCTAATGCTAACTTATTTATTTGAAAAAAAGCTCATACAATATGAAAATATGTATTTTTCTCCATATCTATAAAATAAACTGCTTTAAAGCTTCAGAGTGCTACTAAACCCAGAAATTCATTTAAGCCTCTTTGAAAAAATACTATTCTAGCCAAGCAAAAACACACCCTAGCATGTCGTCATCGTTTGTTGATTCAGATGCTGGGTGTTTTCTGGAATCCTCAGACCGCAGGCTCTCGGGATCCTGGCTCGTAACAGCGTTATGGGCAGGAGGACTCAGCACACTCTGGGACTCCTTGCAAACGATGGAGGAAGACAGAGAAGAGAAAGGTGAGAAGCTACCCAATTTTTAATTAAAAATAATTAAAAGTTAATCAGAATTTTAAATTCTGATAGGACCCCACACATAAGAACTCCAATGTCCTATTCAAACTCAACCACTCAATGCCCTGAAAAAAATAACGTTTAAAGAAAAGATGAGATCTTCAGCAAAAGATGTTAAAAGGCAACTTAAGGAAATTCAAAACATGCTTCATTCAAATGCACACATAGACATAATTTCCCCTCTATTTATAGGAAAAAAAAAAATCTATGCAGTATGCAAACAACTACCTTCACTATAGCAACTAAATAAAACCATGAAAAATATAATCTATGTCACTGATGGGTCTTCTCAACAGGTAATTTTAGTGTCTCAAACCTGTGTTAGTGCACAAATAAAAGCCTGCAGATCTATGATTTAGTTCACTGCCTTAATCCAACTCGAAAACCATTTACAGTGTGAGAATTCCCTTCCCTTTGGGCAGGTCGGCACAGCTGTATTCCTTTTTGCTAGAGCAATTTAGTAACAAACGAGCAGAAGCAGACCAGAATGAGATTACTTGGGCTCCAAACACTTCTGCAGAATTGTAAGGCAAGAATAAAATACCATTTTCCAAAACAATTGCTACAAACAGCTGATTATATGAGAGATTTGGGAATATTACTTACAGATTCCTCTTGAACAGAGAGTCCAATCGTTTCTGCCACAACTGCAGCCAAGTTAAAAGATGGTCTTGGACCTGGGTAGCCTCCAACCCTCTGTTTATCTTTGTGGGCAGAAAGAAGCTCACTTAATGAGCTATACATACATGCTACTATTTTATTTCACTCATAGATAACACAACTCAGAACTAAAAGGATCACAAATTAAAATCTGGCAATTATGGAAATAGGGTGCCTTGTTCCATACATAGTAAATTCTGGAAGTAATGAGGGGAAGAGAGAGACGAAGGAGGAGTTTCTGACAGTAATGAAGAGCTAGATCAGAGAGGGATATATTTCCTCTTTGCATATCCATTCCTAAAATTAACAGGCAGAGATGAATCCAGGTAAAAGTTGCTTCTCAAACTGCCAAGCCAGGACACTGTCTTCCAAGAACAGAATGTGGAAGCACGGCAGTGCATATTTATAATGAGCTGAGCTCTGTATTTCCTAGATAATACTTATAATTATTTTTTTCACTTTTTTTTTTTTCAGAAGAGAGAGATGACTCTCTCTTCCTGTATGGGTTTAACATCATTTATTAAACTGAGGAGAAATGATCTGATGGGGCAGTACAAGAACTACAACCAATTCAGCCCTGACCTGCATGAATATTCAAAAATCCTGTCACTTGCAGTCCAAAATTTCACAGAAAAACCAGCAACATAAAAAATTCTTGAAATGTTACATAAGCTTTCGAAGACTGGTTTCAGGAGAAAGACTCAAGGCAGTAATATCAATTCACAATTGCAAAAAGAGGGAATATTTAACAGAGGCACTTTTACATGTTAAATACTGATTTCAGACAGTAAACACAACCCTTGGAATATTTTTCATCTACTTTATAGTTAGAAAATTAGACAAAAGACAACTGGATGAGTAACCCAAAATATAAGAGGTCAGTAGTATAAGCTGCACTGGGCTTCTTTTTATTACTTGTTTCTTAAATAGTGGTACTAGTCCAGTAGATGTTAGAATTTTACCAGATACGCATTTCAGCAGAAGTTCTATTACAGATAATTTCCCTTTGTGGTTCCTTAGTTCAGACAGACAGACAGACAATAAATCTCATCAGCTGATGACACCTCATCTTACCATATCTTGTCCCTATTTGGAAAATTATTAAAATCAAAGGTGTTAATGGACTTACTTGGCACTGGTGAGAGCTGTGGATCACAAGTGTCTGCCACTAGTATCTCCCCTCCATGGTGACTGTTTGCTTGAGTAGAACTGAGTGGGGTTTTTCCAAGCTCTGCAAGATGACGTATAGACATTTTCACAGGATTAAATGAGATAGCCTTCTATGATAATTATGCTTAGATAGAGATCCTGATCTTAAAAGCACTGGAACATAAATTTGAATATGTCAGTAGGACCATTACTATACACACAACTGCCTATTTTGAGGCATCACTGTGACAAATTCTTCACAAGATTTTCATGTCAATCCTCGCAGGTATGATTCCAGCCAACCAGTTTCTGCCATAAAATAATGTTGACCCATCAGTATGTCACTTTCCATACTGTGTGTGTACATAGTAAATATTCAGACTACATTCCTCCCCTTGATATGGCAGCAGGACTACTGATTAAAAATTAATTTGTCCAGGAAGATAATTTCCTGCATCATCTAGGGTAATGAAAAAGATAAAAGCCTGATAATATAATGTTAGAATTAGATACCTATCATCCAAGACCTTTTAGATACCTGGTTGTAAGATAATGGCTATATGCACCAAGATAAATATTTCACTTTCCACTAGGTGGTGACAAAGATGTGCACATGAGTCAAACCTGAGTGTATTTTTGTCTGGAGTAGTAGAAGAGACGGGTGTTGGAAAACTCTTACATTTGCATGTAGGCATGGATGATGAATAGAGAAGGGAATAGAGGAGTGAACAGTTAAGTAGGAAGTTAAGAATAGCTTTAAACTAACATTTAACATTAAACTAACATTAACATTTTAACATTGAAAGGAAAAAATACACAATAAGCATTTTTTTAAAGTTTTCCTCCTTTCATATACATTTACTTTTTTTTTCCTTTAGTTTTTCCTTACAAAAATCTTTAAAAAATAAAAAAATACAATATTCTTACCACTGTTGCTTTCAGCAAGTTCCAGATCAGGGTGTGCATGCTCTGTGTATCGGACATGCCTATTCTCTTTTTTCCTTCTCATACGATTAACCACAGAAAATGAAGAAGTCAGGACTGGAGAATCTGGAATGACACCTTCTTCTAATTCAGCTGCTTGTTGCTTTTGCTCTCTGGAGACAAATTTAAGAGGTTAAACAAAACACCAAGTTGGCAAAATCAACAGCTTTAGTTGTAGCAAGTGGGAAAATCATATGCTTTAATAAAGCAACTTATTTAGAAAATACAGTACTCTTAATTACATCACCATATAAAAATGTAATACTATAACCATGGTTTCAGTGATGTCTGATAAATTCACAATTGTTCCATCAAGCCTGATAACTGTATATGATCCTTGCTCTTCACAGCTAGAGGCAGCATCCAGCTACTGCATTATGGAAGACTTTCTCTTGGAAACTAGGAGCTGGGAAGTCTCCAGTTTCTTCTCTGAAGCCTGTGCTACTTTAATGAAAACAAAATTGGAGCTAATGGACTACTATGTCTCTTACAGTACGGAAGTCCCAAAGTACTTCCAGAATATTAACAGACAATACAAACACTAAATACAAATATTAAAATATAGCAGGAAGCTTTGGGCAAATTTTAAATGGCGGTGAATAGAACTTTGTTAGAAACAATTCCTGAATGACATGAATTATGAACCTTATCATCCTGTCTGTGTCAAATTTATCAGCATAGCAATCAGGAGTCAGGATACAATCAGTCTGACAAAGGACTGTGTCTTTTCTCGCCAAAACCTGAGTTTACAGATAGAACAAGGACCTAAGAACAGAGGTATTTGCTTCAGTTCTGGTAAGTTCCATGCTGTTTGTTTAGTAGTGACAAGACCAGTGCTGCTGCTGTATGGTAAGGGTAACGAGGAACAGGCCTCCTTTAGCATCTTTCTTCAGTAGCATTTTGCCTTATAACTCTCAAGAGAAAGGTAACTTCCTAACCGTGAAGAGAAGCATGTAAGGTTTTGATCTAAGAGGAAGAAGTAAGGATATATTTCTGCTTGCACAAAAGGTAAGCTATAGTCTCCTATACAGAATAATTTAATAAACTGATAGAAAACCATGGCATACTGACCATGGCTTAAGTCGAAGGGATTTCTGCAAAGTTAGACTTTTTAAATATTCAAAGTTACTTGTTGTAATGAAAAACAGTTACGTTGCAAAATAAGTTAGCTGTCAGAGTTCTAATTAAATTTATTAACGTATGTGGCTTTACATGAAAAATCAGCCTGCTCTATTTTTCTGTATCTTTATTCTATGGTAACTAGATGGTATTTCTTAAACACAACTAGAAAAAAACAAATGAAGCTGATATAGATGCTATACATTATAAATATACATTAAATTATTTCTAAGTTACCAAAACATTTATCAGAGATCCTATAACATTTTTGAAGAAACTTCCATGCTATTTCCATCCATGGATAAAGAAATTCTAAATTGATAAAGGACTGGATAGTACAATTCTTCTAAAAATTCATTTCCTATTTATAAGAGACTATTAGATTTTTTTTTCTAAAATAGTAAATCTTCATAACAAAAGTAATCAGATTTTGCAGTCTCAGTTGATGACATGCCCTGGAGAAAATGTTACTTCACTCTTACGTGACAGTGTTGCACTGATTTGAATTCTTCATTCTAAATAAAATAGGTTCACAGTTCAATCAAAATAATAGGGACAATTGTGTCAATAAGGACACAGTTCCATCAAACAACTAATGTTGTGGCAATATTAAAAACAGCAAGACTCTGCTTGTTAATCACTGTTAATCCACACAATTTCTCACTCATTCAAAAAATATTTAGCACACTGAGCAAATAACTTAAGTGTTATATTCATCATTCTCAACTTTCCTACAGAGGCCAGTATACCATAAGACAGTTACCAGAAGCTAAATTGCAGGGTTGGGTCGCAAGGTAATGAACCTACATTATTTTGCCTAAGAGAATTAGTTAATTCCTAACTGCTGTCAGCTTCACAGGAAACCCACTGCAGAATGGCAATTATAAAGTGGAAGGCATACAGAATTTTATTACTAATTGGCATTAAAAAGGAGTACACCCAGTGGCATGCAATATAGGATTTGAACGAGATGAAATACATACAGGGAGAAGAGATTATTATCCAACTGAGCAATAAATACTAAGGAGCAGAACTGCAGGAATCATGAACTCAATCTGCACGTTCCTACACCAAGCACACTTTTGGATGAAAACAATAAAAAATTATATGTAGAAGAAGCCCCACAGATCAAGTCTGCCTCTCCATATCCATCCCCATTACTCCCGTGCCACGTAATGCAACTGCTTCTGGTCAAATCCAAAACCAAAATGAAAAGAAATTTGAGGTGATGTCAGACTACAGCCGTACACATACTGCTTCTGCCTTACACAGAAGAACCTGATAATATACATATATAATATATACGTATATAATATATAATATATACTAACCACAACACCATGTGGCACATTTTTGCTAGCCTATATTAAAATTTGATAGTCAATTTGCTGTCCTTTATTTTTATGAGTTTCTTGAAAAGTTGTCTGAAATCCTGTAAAATTATTCCAAGTTTCCTTCAAAAATGTAGTGAAGGACCTTGGGATTGCTTAATAATTGGATAAACTCGTTTCTTAAAGTCTCATCCTAGGAAGAAAGGATTGGCAAAGTGTAAGAATGTAAGGCTTTTCAATGCACAAAGACTAGAATAATTTAAAATAATCATCAAAATGAAATTTCTGCGACATAAGCATATTAGCAAGATGCCAGTTTCCCATTTTTATTTCAAAATGGCAATAAACTGTCATTTATATGAAGAACAGACTTTAAAGAACTAAAAGCTGAAAATTTTATTCCCAGAAGTTGTTACTGAGAAGGAAAAATAAAAAGCAAGAAAACTCAACTTACTCTAACTTCTTCTGCAATTGCTGGAATTGTTCAGATATCTTTTTATTTTCATCTTGTAAGTTGTTCTTTTCATTCACTATAATTCACAAAAAAAAAAAAAACAGTGCACAGATGTTAACAGCATGTTATACTTGATTTTGTTAGGCCCTTTAAGAAAAAAGGATCAGTTTTAAAAACTAGAGGCACCCCTGCATCCAGTGTTTTACCAAAATTTTCAAGTTACTCAACTCATTAAAAAGGTTACAAAATGACTGTTAAAGCAAAGGATTATGGATTATGATACTAATTCCACTCAGTCATTAGTTACTTATGTCTCAAATCAATGGAATGAAAGCTCCTACCTTTCCTATTCATTTTCTTGTTCCAAGTTTTTTATTATGTATTTTACCTCTGGATTACTCTTCATTAATCTCCTTACATGGTTGAGACCATACATGTACATTTCCAATCCAGCATCTATAGGTGTCTAACATTCTGTCAGACAGTGTTCAGTACAGTTTGCACTCAAAACAGGTTGAGTTTTTAAGGCCCAGAACTTAATACAAAGGTTGTCTGTACTCTGTCTGTTTTTGTGTCATGAGAATTCTTAATATTCTTGATATAAATATGCAAAAATAATATATATTCCTGACAAATTGATATAATCTATATCAATATAAAATTTATTATTTCCACGTTTAAATCAAATATTGAAAAGCTGATTTGTCTTTCATTTTTCACAATTAAAATTTCACTTTACACTAAATTCTAATAATACTCCAGCATACATAAAATCTAAATAACTCAATTTCAATGAATACTTGAATGGTGAAGCAAAATGATTCTTTTTTCACAAAAATTCACGAAGCCTTCACTTTACAAAATGTTGTCTTCATATGCATGGCTATAACTTACTGAGTTCAGTGATAAGTTTAAGATTCTGCTGCCGAATGTTCTCAAACTCTTGCTGTTTCTTTCTCATATGTTCTTCAGTTACAGCACAGCGGTCACATAATCCTGCTCTTAATCTGTAAGAGAAAGTACATGTGTTTTTAAAATAATGCGATACACAAAGCAGATTATCAATAGTTAACTGGATCTTTAAATAAGAAAAAAAAGGAAGTTTCCGAATGCCATGCTAAGCATCACTAATACACTGAAACAGCAATCCCTTGAGATTTTTGCATGACCCTGTATTTCACGTACAATAGCTAGCACAAATGACTGCTAGTGCCAGATGCTGTTCAAATAATATGTATATTTTAGGTGGAATTGCTACACTCTGCCACTGAAAGCTTTTGTAAGATATTTAAATAAAGATTCTATACAAAGCCAATAAAAACAACCCACAAATTCACCTGTCTTCTAAAACTTTGATGGTATCATGAAGTGCTTTTTGCTGCTCTCTGAGCTGTTGATTCTTGGTGTAAAACTCTTCCAGTCTTTCTGCATCCCTAAAATCAAATAGAGAAAAAAAGTTATTTCTAGCTTTAACTCATAGCTACTATCTTTTCAATACAGAATTATGGTTTCAGTGTTTTTCTTTCTTACTCTTGGGAAATATAAATGATAATCAGCAAAAAAAAAATAAGTTGAGGATATATGAAAAAAATGTTTTTGATGAGTGTCAACAATGACTGAGTTAGAAAAGGAGTAATTAGTTCCTCATACCTATTACAGTTCAAATTTGGTTGATAAATATGACTTCGCTCAAGATGAACATAGAGCTGATGACAGTCAAGGTATAAAAGGTAGTGTTATTCAAGTAACAACTCCAGGGAACCCAAGCTCCAGCACGTTACTATCTAGTTGAGCTGCTGAAGAACTAGCTGGGAGATTTTCTCACTCAAGTTTCTGTCTTTATACTCTTTCTTAGCAATAACTGCATTTTGTACCATGGCAAGCCACATGAGGTTTGTAAAGCCCTCATGAATCTTTAGATCTACCAGACGTCTAGTTTTCCAGGCAGCAATTTCTCAGTGTCTACAGAAGATGAATTCTCAGAATACCAATACTGGGAAGCAAACTGTCTTCCCAAAGGTTTCAGAAACAGAGCAGAAGCCTGGAGGAAATTTCTTATCAGAACTGTGTATTTAATAAAGAACATCTCCTCCTCAAAAGAGTTAAGGAAAAGTACCAGGAACACCAACTTCACAACTTTAGCTTCATTTTAATCACCAGATCACAACATGCACTCAAGATAAAAACAAGGTATAAGCAACAAACATGCATGCATTTTGCTCTACAAAAAGAGCAGCTCTCATTAAAAACTGAGCAGCTGAATCCACATAACATGAAAATAACTAATTTCTGAGAATGTTTTCTTGATTTTATTTTTACCACGGTATATGCCATGAATGCCAGTGTTTGTTCTCGGCATGCTTGAGATGGGATATTCGAGGCAGCCATGGACCTGGCCGACAAAAAGCTGCTACGCACACACATAACCAATTAAACCATATTTACAACTTATTGATACAATTCTTTTACACAGATACACTTTCAAATAAGCACTATCCCTTTAAGATATGCTATGGAAACATATTTACATTCTGTGGCTATTAAGAGTAATACAGGAAATTAGCAACCATTCATTAAGTGAACGAGATAGCAAGCAGTTTCTGCTGTGTACCATCCAGATATAGAATTTTGGAATTAATAAAATAAATTTGAAATGTTATTTTTCTAAACTACACTTCAGATAAATATGGTGCCTTTCAGCTGCATACACAACATAAAGATCATGAGGAACTATTTAGCAAATCATTTAGTTAATGATTTGGGCTGATTAACCAAGCATAGGCAGGCAATGGTAAAACGGGAACAGCCATAAAAAAGTGACTCACATTTTTCTGATGATTATAAGGGAAATCTCATTGTTTTCCACAGCTTAGGAAGTTTAAAAGAGGGCCCAATATATCCAATCATAAAAACTTCTCTCAAGCCATCTTTATATCATTTTATGGCATTACATTTTTTAAAAATTAACAAAAAAGACACAATACGTACTCTATCCCATCTAAATTCGTAAAAACGACACAATTTAGATATTAAAATGACAGAATGAATGAACTTTACTTTCTCCAGAATTCCAAAGCAGCCGACATACTTGATGAGTATTTTTGGTTATGAAGACACTCTTCATAATGAATGGTCTCTAACCCAGCACTTACAAGCCATTAGCTCCAATGCTGCAGTGGGGTAAAACATAAGGAGCTCTTTGTCAGCTGATTATCAAGTCTGAAATATTAAACCTCAGGTATTCAGAAGCATCAAGGAGAACAAGACCTCCAATAGAAGAGCATTGTATCTACAATGTACTGACTGCAGAAAGATCCAACAAACAACAATTAAACCACCTGGTATGTGTCCAGTCACATAACTGCTAATATTCGTCATCTAGAAAATAATTGATCTTTAATAAAAAAAAAGATAATTACTGAAAAGCAGTGACAAAAAATAAACAGCAAACATGTACTGTAGTGTAATGTAGTAAAGCACACAAAAAAGCCAATGTATTTTTAAGATGAATTTAGAAATTTATGCAGAGAACACACTAATTCCACTAAAGGGAGCTCACTCCTATGAAAAGGCACTTTAGTTTCCCTCCCAGCTGTAGACAGAAGCATACTAGGAAGGTCATAAAAGAACTAGAGTTTTTAAGTTACTGTTCTACAAAAAGCCTACATAATGAAAGAAGTTTTCTAACCCTGGAGAGGGATAATTCTTGTTTATAATATTTTGAAAAAAAAAAACGTAACTACAAACAGGATAATTATTTATGCAAGTAAAAAAACAAATAAAAACCAAAAAGCATAATAGGAATGCATGAGGCAGAAAAAAATGGCTAGACTACAATCTGAACACAAAAAACTACACTTGAAAGTGTTGCAGTGGCATCATAAAACTAAGACTGTGTATCTCTGGCTTCAGCTGGCAATGCTGGGTATGTAAGTATGCCTTTTTTTTTGATTATAGACCAAAGTGGTTTTTTGTTTTTTTTTCTTGAGTATTATTTCATACAATTATGTTGTTTTCCAAAATAAAAAATAACTAAATAATCTATTCTTACTTCTCTTACAGTACATGAAACTGAAATTCATGATTAAGGCCATATGTAATTTAAAAAAAAAGTGAAACTTGCTCCTTTTATTTCCCTAAACGCAAAGTCAAAATTCAAAATGTCACATTGCCACTTATCAATTAGCATTTAGCATTTAGTTTAAAAGTGACTTTGGTCACCAGGAGGTAAATGCAAAACTGATTTAATGCTGTACATGTAGACTGTTATTCTACTGTCCATGACAATCCTGTAATACAGATTCTTTTTTTCCCCAAGTTGTTTCTAACTAACAGACTCAAGATTACTAGTAAAAAATAACTGCAAAAGACTTATGTAATATCTGTAAGTATAAGAACTGATGAAGATTTAGTAAGATTATTACCAGAAACTTTGCTGACTAGCTAGAAGTTAAGTTAAAGGCTCAGAAGCTGGTATTAAAAATCAAACATCTGTGAAGGGAATTTTTAAAACATTGTCTTATCCCTTACAAATTCCTTTTTTTATGAATTTGAGCTCAATTTTAAAATTTCTCCCTGATAATTTTTCATATTAGACACGTCCAACATCCTTGGTGAGCAGGCTAAAAATATCATAGATAGAAAATCCTAACAGTTACTTGTCCAAGGAAGACAAACCTAGCATTCAGGTTAAACACCCTGCACAAAGTTACTTACATTTTTAGACAACTTCAGCTGAAGTACTGAGCTGAACAGATTTATACATGTATGAAGGAAATATCCATAAAACCCTAATTGATTTTACAGATATTGCTGCTTGCTAATTGCATCCAGAATCTCCTTTAACAGATTAGATGATCAGGAAGTGTACTTACAAGCATCTTTCCTTTTTCAGTTTGGATATTTTCAGTTGTAAGCCTGAAAAGAAGGATAAAACACGTATTAAAACAATTTTCATTTAACTAAAATAGTGGAACGATACGCAAAGTTTCCTTTTGCACTGGTATCTGCCTGAAAGAAAGAAAAAGGTCCATCATTTGGAGGGAGAGGGAGAATGGTTCATCCTGGACTTTCTGGAGGTATTCTACTGGACCTTGGAAGCAAACCCAGCCATTAAGATCCCTAGGAAATGGAGACTCTGTAATAAACTAAACACCCATATTTCCAGCTAAAACACTTTCTAGAGGAGGCAGAGGAAGAGGACATACTTTTACTCAGAGTAACAACCACTATTTTTCTTTTTATGGAATGTTTGTACACATGATACTTTATGCTATCTGTGTATACACATAAGAGCATTATTTACTCGCAATCTGGCAGCCAACCACTGAATTGAAAAGTGTGTTATAATGTCTATGTATCAAGGAAGCTTATCAAGAACAGTAATTTAAAGCTTTACACTACACAGCCACCACATACTCTCACTGAGGTACGCTCAGGTAGAGCCAGCCAAAGCTGCTTTGGACTCTTTTGGGGTGCACAGGAGAGCAGTACCTCCTACACAGCCCTTCTGCCACTCAGGCCTCCACACTCCAAAAGCTACAAAACACCTGTCTACTCTAGAAGTAAAAAAGTAAAAAAACCTTGCAAATACCAATGATGTTCTCAGACACGAAGCTCCGTGTAAAATGACACTAAATGCAAAAGTAAAATCTTATACCCGCCCACTGGTATTTTTATTAAGCTATGTAATTTCTTTTTAAATACTAGATTTACTTTAAGCTGTGCAAAGTTATGAATGAAAAACTTCAGTCTGAATGCAAGGTATCCTGAAAAAGGATTAGTCTTAGAAAAAAAAATCTAATCTTATGAAACCAGAGTGTTTTTCAGAGGAAAAAAACAACCAACCAACAAACAAAACTCCTCTAACTATCTGAACTGAATTGAAATCAAAACACCTGCCCAGTATTATGCTTTATTACAGAAAATGCAAGGTAAGACAATAAACATATTTCTTTCCCTTGTCCTCCCCCTCCAAAATGCTTGCTGGGGAAGAATTCAATTTTCAGGCCACCTAAAAGCAATAGTCAGGCCAGCCAAAGACTCAATGAACCCGAGCCACTGAGTGCTGCAAGATGCCAGGGAGACAGAGAGATAAAAAAACGTAGAGACTACTTCAAAAATAGCTCTTGGGAAACACAGCAAGATTTCTTTTATCTCTAAGTGTTCAACACCTGTGAGATGTTATGTTCTGTCATGCAGATCAGCAGCGAAAGAGGGTTTATTTTTCTTAAGGAGTTGCTGCCGTTCATCAAGGCAATTAGGCATGTGCAATTAAAACCCCTATAAAGGAGGCTTTAATGCTGCTCCACGCCCGTCGGAAGGAATGAGGCTGCCCAACAAAGCGCCTCCTGTATGAACAGGTAGCCTGTTGAGCCAGGCTTTCGCATTGTAACACTGGCAACCCGAGCCACAACCCGAGGAGGCAGCGCTCTAAGGGCCCGGCGCTGTGCTGCAGGTAACACTATCTCCCCTCTCACCTCAATTCAGCAGGAACCAAACTAGTTACCTTAAAGGTTAGCCCTTCTTTTTTTTTTTTTTCCCCTCCTTTCCTCTTCTCAGTTCAAAGAACTGCAATGAGAAGGCAGGAATCCAGCTTGTTACATGGATCCAAGAGCACTGAATTACTGTATTAGCTGTACTGCACAGTGTAAAGCTGCACTAGCTTTTCCAGAGAACTGGGAGTTTTCAACTGCCCTGATTAAGACAGCTTGAATTTTTCTTAACAACTGTGTAAGCATTTCTTACTGAACAATTCTATGAAATAGATGGCTGCAGACTATATAAATCTCAGTTATCTAAAACTCACAAGAGCTTTAGTAAATTGTCTATATTAAAGTGATGGAGACTGTCTTTAAAAAAATCATTAGGCAAATTAATATGAACACATGACATATATAAAACTTACAACTCCGCTAAGTGCAATACTTTGACTAATGGGCATGACCATTTCTGTTCCAATCAATTTTCAGATGCCATAGGTTTCCTTTTTCAAAACTGACAGAGCCTGGGAAGGCACTTCATGACTGGAAGCTTCTAGGAACAAGGGTTGGACAAGCTTCTGTTAGGAAGGACACAGATATAATCCTACCTTAGGGGTACCAAGATGGACCAGATGACCTCCTGAGATCCCCTCCAGCCCCGATTTCTATGGTAATTTACTTTTCAGTAGTCTCTGGCCATCTCCTTTCCTACAACCATCTATCAACAACATCACTTTCCTCAAATTTTTCTCTTCTAAAATTACAGATGTCTTTCCCTCATTGATATCTCTTGCTTTTCAGAGGTAAAGGAGGAACAGAAAATTGTTTTTTCTTGTTCTGCTACACAAAACTGTTTTACCATGTTTTCACACTGAAATAAAATAATTACTTCGAATATAGAGCCTCAGATGTGAATGTATCCCCAGGAATGACATTAAAAGACACATATGCACTGCTGATCCAGGCAGTTATTTCAAGCTAGATGCAACTATTAATACCTGCAGAAACAAGTCATTTTGAAACGGTATTATTGGATTTCTTTCTAATTTCTGCAACTTAGAGAGTATGCCAAACATTCTTCAGATAGGTAATAAAAGCAGAAGTTGCTTTAATGTTTTAATTGTTTTAATGGACCTGAGTTTCTGAACACTTCTGAATTCTACAAAACTCAATTGATTTCCGCCATGATCAGTATCTTTGCTCTAGGAGTTGTAGGAGAGAGACCCACGGTCAACTTGCAAGATGGTGCTAGCTCAGCTAATGTAGGAAAAAAAATGCCCTTTACAATATAGTAATACAAGAATTAAATAAAATCCACTTCAAACTTAACATGTTTGAAATCTTCTAAAAATATTCTAATCCAATTTGTATAACATGCCTGACCATTACATACTCATGTATACCTATGCTTTTCACAAATTTGCAGTAAGAATTCCACATTTATCACCCACATTCAGTTCACTGTCTACCTTGTAGAAAAAGTCCTTTGTCCAACCACTAGCTTTCCCTTAATACCACCATCTCTAAAACACATTTTTGCTGACACTTAGATTGGAAACTCATGAGTCAATTTTAATTCTTATTTATAGACTTCAGAAGCAAGCAAAGTCCAGGCAAGTCTGTGTTTGATGTTTCTAAAATATCTTCCAGGACCATTTTCTACAAGAGGATCCCCACCTTTTGAAAAAATTAACTATCCTTCAGGCATGTCTTTGATGTTATCATGGAAGACCTAATTTTACCTAACCCAGTGCGGGACATACTGACAAAGGGCTAGGCATGAAAAAGTCTGCCTAGTGGCAAAATTACCTGGCCCCACCCTACGTGCCTGCTGAAGAATATCTTCATATGCATAAAGAAAACCAAAACGATACAATCACGTGCTGCGCATCCCCCCAAAAACTAGAGAAGGGGTCACTTAACATCGCCCTGTGTATTAGAGCTTTTTGTTTTTCAAGTTTTGGCTGTTCAGACATGCCATGGATTGCCAGATCCCCTTCTGTCTGCGCTTCCGCGTTTATCTGCACTTGACATCACACCCACTCTGGGATGAACCATAAGGAACGAAAAAGAAAAAAAAAAGTCATAAAAATAGGCAGTTTTGTCTTTCTTTAAGTAGGCACAATATAAAATTATACTTGATATGACATAAACTATTTTTAAGGCAGTGCTATTATCTGCTACATCTTTCCTTGTAGCTGCCAAAGTGATGAAAGTTTTTCAACACTTGCACAAAACGTCAGGGCCCAGGGCTGTAGGGTTGAGTCAAACCCTCTATGCCTTCCTGTAGGAGGAATGAAATATCCACAATACAATTTCGAAACTGGGCTGGGGGCGGGCAGGACAGCAGTTCATAAATGAGGCTATAACTAGACCTAACTGGGCAGACCTGGCCCAGCCTTGAAGCTCCTGAGAACGACCAAGGCCACTGGAAGAGTTTGACTATGAAGATGAGCTTGTGTGACTGAAGCCATTAATTCACAAAAGTTCACTGGCTTTTATTCCAGCAGAACACAAACACTGCTCCATGCATAAGGAATATTAAGAATATAAATATATGATGCAATAATTCATCTTTATTTTGCATATCACTAATCTTCTATGTTAGTGTAAATGGAAAGACAGTAACAGTCTAAGGATAATAAAACTGGTATCATAGCGTAAAATAACAAGCATCCCTTGTAAAAATGTTTTGGAAAAAAGAGGTAGAACATTGGGAAAAAAATTATTTTTCTCTTTGGTAATCATAATGTGCAGCAGGCTGTGATGTGCACTGTAATTAGGCACAAGTCTGGGGAAAAAATGCACATGTTTGTCAAGGCCACAACTTAAATACATCTGAAGTGATGAAAACCAAAGGAAATCAAAAAGAAAAAAAAAGAAAAAAAACGAGGTTGGAAAGCTTCATTTTGAAGCTTTGGACCATAACCCTTTAATAACAATGTAACATTTAAGTATTTTCAAAGAAAAAATAAATGGCAAGTAACACTGTGATATTTCGCTTCACAGACCTAGCAAACAATTTATATATTTTCCATGGTTCAAATCCAATCTGCTAGGCCAAGCTGAGCCTGTAAACCTCTAACGGACCCTTTGTAACCATCCCAACCAACATAAAACCCTAAAAACATATTTAGTTAACACAGATGGAGTGACACACTGGCTCAAAGTTTCTCCACAGTAACAAATAATCTCTTGTAAAGTGGGACTTTGGCGATTTACCTTGCACTTCCTTATCGTGACATTCTTTCAGTTTGGACCACAGCTCCTTGAAGAAATCCCCAGCGGGTTCTGCAGCACTGGGGCTCCCGCAGCCTCCTCCGGACGCATTCATCTTGTTCCCTCTGCTCCCGGCGGCTTCCACGTCGCTACCAAACAGGCTCCCTCTCTCACTTTATGCTTTAAATTACATAGCTACGAAGCTGTTTCTGAAGACAGGAGGATGCCTGTAATGACAGATCGACAACATTCATGCTTGCATCCATCAGAGAGTAACTTGCACCCTTGGATGAAATACAAAGCTCTCTGTCTATCCGTGTCAGGCTGTGCTCAGCTCCTGGCAGTCACCTTGGAAGTGTGGGAGCTGCTAAGTACTTTGTCACACATAAAATAACAGAGAATTTCTTTTTTTTTTTCCACCTTGCACAGATACCAACCTAAAGCTAGACCACAATTTTTAGGAAACTTAATTTTTTGGCCTGTGAGAGGCTATTACTCTGCAGAATTCCAACTTGCCAAAATCATCCTAGGCTTCCAAAACTTTGCTAACAACAAGTTCTCTTTCACAAAGCTTTAACATGCATCTGTGCACATGCATTCTTTACATAAACATGGCTTAGAGTTGCCCTCTTCTGCAAAGAAGAGTTTGAATTTCCCTTGGAAATTTTCTCGATTCTGCATTGAGACACTGAAGAACTGTTCACACTCCCTGATAAAAGAGAAATAGATTAATGTCAAAATGTATAAACCCTCCCAAACATTATCATTTTAGGAGATCTATCTTAATAACCAGACAACACTCTCTGACAGGGCGATCTCACCTACAACACTTCTGTCTTTTGAAGGAAACCTTAGCACAGAGGGTAAGCCAAGGCTAAGATTCAGTTCTAATCACTACAATGCGTGTCCAGTATTAAAATACTCATGCAATCCTTTTATCCTTCAGTCCTGTAACTTATACACACATACATTATTTTTCCTATTCTTAAAGCAATCCATTTTAAACAAACATTTTTGAACAAGGACGGGGTATAATTACCAGATGCACATTGCAACATACATTATTTTGTAATATAAATTGTAAAAAGAAAAAAGAATAAGGTTCATTGTTTTAGCCCTCAAGTTCCATCCTTACCACACACACCACAGACTATTTCTCCACAGAGGAATAAAAGCAGCATCTGGCTCTCAAGTTCTTGAGATAAAGTCACAGCAGCACTTCAGACCAAACAATTAGTGGCCTGTAATTAGTCAAGAGGTTGCATTTCCTACCTTAAAAGTCTTCAAGCAACTTAAAGCACCTGCACTGCAGCTGCAGGCTCGGCTATGAAAGAGCCCTGGGTAGGAGAAACCTCTGGGCCTATTTCAGCACCTGGTTTCACGTTAGCTAGTGCTCTTACTCTGAGAGAAGGCTTTAGGAGGGAATAAAGTTACCTTTCCAGGGGAGCAGGGCCTAAAGCGACGCTCGGCAGCTGCAGGACCATCTCCTTGTGCCTTGGTGGCCGGAGCGCTTCGCCCCTCGGAGCGCCCCTTTGGGAGCACGCTGCCCCTAAGCGCCCCTTTGGGAGCACACGGCCTAGGGACGCTAGGAACGGCTTTAAACACTCGCTCTCCTGCCTTCAATAAGAAATACCTCACAAAACATCTTTTTCCTCTGTCGAGTGTTAGAACAGTGAAATCAGCAGATGAGCTTTTCCTTATCTTGGATCTGAATCTTTTGGGCAAGGCAGTTTCAAGGCAAGGGTGCCTGACCATGAAAACGTTTTTATTTCCTGTGGTCAAGCTTGTCTGCGGTGCTTTGTTGTCCACCCCAGGGATGTTAGAGAAGGGGGAAAAGATCAAAACGGGCAGTAACTGCAGAGTTACTGCAGGCAATCAGTACGTCGAAACGGGAGCAATGGGTTTGTCTCTAACTTCGGGTGCTTCAGGGTCCAACGAGGGCCGTTTGCCGGTGCCAACCCCGGCCTATTTCACTGCACTAATAACGGGCTTTCCCGTCACGGGGGCTGCGCTCCCTCCTCAGAGCTTCCTGCTCGCTCCCAGACACGGGCTCTGTCCCGGCCCGCCCGCCCCGTGCCCAACGGCCGCCCCGTGCCCAAC